ATATAAAGCACTTTGGGTGTCTTAAAAGTGCTATATAAATGTAACATTCATTCATTCATACATTCATTCATGTGTAAGCAACTGGGAAGGTAGCAGATCAGACTCAGCTGTGAATCCTCCTTCAAAGAACCTCTTCTCTCTCACCATGAATAGACGTGCCAGGCAACTCGCACACTAGGTCGCGAAGGCTAGGATCGGAATAAATGACGACAGAATGCATGGTTTAATGAGCACACTGAGTTAGACACTCACTGGTTACACCCATGAGCTATGGAGGCCACTACAGATGGGGCTGGTTCGCACCTGCAGTCTGAAGTTTACGTACAGATGTTGTTGCCTAACCACATTTCTTTGAGATTGGTCAGTCTCCCTTAGTCCAGCCTTAATTGGGTCCCTTAAGACTACATTCAAAAAGCATAAAATTTTACACCCTGACACAAAGGAGACATCAATGCAGCTGTGTGCAGAGGATACTGGAGGGACCGATTAAAGGAAAAACCACGGATTTGACTTGCAAAACGCATGAATGAAAGACAAAGGACTTTGTGCCAATTGCAGTCAATGGCACAGCCTTCAAAGTTAAGTGCCACTGACCTAACCTTTAGCGCTGGGGGTTTGCAGCAGCAGCTAGAAAAGTAGGGTGAAAACTCTAATCCTAGGATATACCTGCCATGTTATACAGTTGTAGTTGCCACGGTTACTCATTTCAAAACTTAAATTACTTAAGTTAAGGAGCTGAACTACTTTTTTTTTTTTTGAGCCATGACGTTATTAAACCACAATTAACCTGTTCTGCTTTTCCATGGGAACACAAACACAGTACATCCCTACAAAGACAAAAGAATGATTCTTATATATGTGACCTAACCACTGCAATTTTATTATGCCTACATTTCACAGAAACGCAGATACACACACACACACCCCACACACGCACACGACAGACAGACACACGCATGCAGAACAAAAAAAAAAACATAAGGCAAGACAATTCCATTCCAGTCCAGTAGCCGAACAGCTCTGCTTCATGTTTTGGCATCGTCTGCCTTTCTCAGTGGCTCTGTAACCGCGGCGCAACGAGCGGCGCTGGAGATGCTGTGTTTCATCGCGCACGGAGGTACACAGAAAGCTCATGATTCGAACACACGAGTCCAAGCCGCAGAAGAACGCATAAACGCGTCTATCTACCCTTACAGTCACGGAGCGATGAATGGGAGATCCTTTCTGGATGAATTCTACGCCTGGGTTATATTAACAAACAGACCAAGAGATTGCGGTTTTGTGAAACTGTGGATAAAATAGGAAGGTGATATTTGATGAGTAGAACAGCTTTTTTTTGCGCGTACAGTGCCGTCCGCGATTATGGATTATCCGTAAGAGAAAGGGAAAGGGAAAAAGAGACAGATGCTGGTTTATACTTCTACACAACTAACGTGAATGATATCGTTATCTGGTCTTAACCACAATCGCGTAGCATGTATTCCCTGGTGCTGAGACATTCTGCACGGCTGTCTGAAGAATGAGCGCTGCTGCGCAACACGGGAAAACCATGTGCGGCGGAGAGGAATAGAGAGTCCTTCTTCTGGTTTTTAAATACCTGTGTATGTTTTCTGTGTGTATGTGTGGAGCGCGCTTAGAGCATTAAAATCAAGAAACGGCTGTCCTCAGGATGTCAGGATATCAGGGATCAGTTCTCCACAAAGACAGGTGTGACGGACAGGCGGAATAGTTCGCCAAGGGGAGAACGGGGAGCGAGGACTGAAAGGAACCGATACCGATTAATTATTACTGACAATACCCTCGGATTTCCCCTTGTCACCTCCGTTCGCATAAATACAACCTGGGAAAAGGGGAACGCGGAGAAGATCACTGCTAAGACCGGGAGCACCGGGCACATCTTTTCCTGCCACCGTCAGCGGTGAGTGAGCGGTCGCGTAGGTCCGTCAGGGGTGGAGGCTGTATGCGGGTCCGGGCAGCGTCTCCACCGCGCCCTGCGGAGACTAGGATGGCATCGGGGACCATTGCTTGAGGGCGCATCAGGAGTAACGTTTATGATGGGGCCGTTTCAGCGCATGTATTGTTTTACTAAAATAATCAGACTTGTTGTCATTCTAATCACTCTGGCATGAACTAAATCCACACTGTGGTGAGCCGTTGCTGCTTTTCTTTGAATCACACGATTTTCAGAATTTTCGCCTCTTATTTAATCCGTCTGATGCGAGGTGACACAAAATGTATGTGATTTTTTGAGTAACTGCTAATATTCATGGCGTAATCCCGTAATGCGAAATCCTGTAACGGTACCAACAGGCCGATTCTCATCTGGGGGAGTACTTGATGTAATGTCGTTACTGTAGGCAAGGATTTATTCCAGTGATAATTAATTCGTTTTCAGTATTGGAGATTAGGGTTTTTTTCCATGGGGATTTCAGGGTCAAAACTGCATTAATGAGTCTCGTTATTATTATTATTATTATTATTAATAATAATAATTATTATTATTATAACAATAAGTGATCAATAATAGTGGTTGTGCTAGAAATAATGTATGCCATTCAAAAGTTTATGATAAATTCATATAATTGCAATATTGAGGCAGATTTCACTTCACTTCAAACAGAGTATTCTTGACACGTATATTCCAAACATTTTCTGTAACCTTACAGAGTGTACAGAGCAGTAAGACACTGCAGCTCTGAGCCATTAAAGCCCATGGAGAACAACATCTCCATGTAGTGTGAATATTATTCTTCTGATTCTTATTCTTCTTATGATTATCATTTAGATGTTTTTTATTTGACTCCTCACATTTCCCACCATGTAGCAATAAGGTTAAAAACTTTCTAATTGGCCAACATTCCATCTGCCATGACAAGTTGTAATGAATTTCAACATATTATACATTTTGATATATTGTAATATGTTCTTGCAGCTGTTAAAAAAAACAGAACCTGGTTTGGCTTATTTACATTTTGATAATGAGTCTCATGACCTGTAATTTTTCACGAGTTGGTTGATTCACGATTTGAATTCTCCTTCTTGGCTTGTGTTTGGGGGTTGGGGTATCATGTGTTGGGTCATACCACCCGCTACTGATTGCCCCCCCCCCCCCCCCAGAAAAAAAAAAAATAGTCTGCCTGCTTGCAATGCTTTGTTCCATTGCTCCCCTCAAGGACCATCCAGCATAGCTGTGCCACTGTCGCACCCCCTCGTCCTCCAGGGAACGCTGCCCGTCCTGGAACCGCGGCTGCTGCAGCCAAGTTTCAAAATTCAAGAGGCAGCCGGCAAATAGCTCCCTTTTGTTAGTACTTGGGGTTTGCGGCCTGGAGAGGCAGCAGGGCGAGCAGAGTAGGGGTTAGAGGTTAGAAAGGCTGGGAGCGAGGGGGGTGGGGGAGGGGGGTGCATCAAGGCAAGGCCAAGGTCTTCGTTGGGCCTCACTCTCGATGTCACCAGCCATCAGACTTAAAAGAACACAGTCCCTGAAACGTTAAAGGAACCCAGAATTCCCTCCAACACAGAGGCTTTTCTTTGATGTGAAGGGATGTTTAACTGTCTTTTTGTTTTCATTTCTCCTTTTCGATAGTTGCCTAATGACACATCCAAGCCATGACTCATGTGCTGGATTTCTTTGGCAGGGCCTGGGAATTCCTGTCCCAGAGCTTTAACACTATCCGCATACTGACCGTCTTTTCCAGTAAGTGTTGATTGGGCAGGAAATGGTGAAAGCAGCAAATGAAATGAGAGGTTCTGGGAAGGAATGCCATGAATGACAGGTCAGAGCCGAGAGCTGTGACTGGTCTGCGTTTTCCTGGATTTGGGGGTGGGCGTTGACTGGCCGCCTGCTGCAAGCCGGCCTCTCCTTCCATGGGTGGGGGGTCTTATTTTCCAGCGTTCCTCACAGTCTCACAGAACAGTCTCTGTGCCAAGCGCAGCACCGAGATTTTTCATAAAAACAGTTAATTTGGAGAGATCCGTGGACACCTTGCTCTCTCCTGAGTCCTCATTGAGTTAATTCCAAAATCAGGCGGTGGAGAATTTTCCAGGGAGGGCAAAATTTGTGTGCGTCTGAGTGAAATGGAGGATGAGGTTGTGTGTGTGTGTGTGTGTGTGTGTGTGTGTGTGTGTGTGTGTGTGTGTGTGAAAGACTGGGAGTGCATATGTTTTTTGTGAAAGAGAGTAGCGGTATGCGTGTGCTTGTGTGAGAGAGAGTTTGTATAAGGGAGATAGCATGTGTGTGTGGGAGAGAGAGGGTGTGTGTGTCACAGTGGTCTGGTATGTATGAGAGCGAGTGTGTGGGTCAGTCAGGGGGATTTTGGGTCTGAATGGGGTGCCTGTTAGCCCTGCTCAGCCACACAGTGCGCTGTGGAGCAGGTGGTGTCCCCGCTTCACTAAAACAGCAGGTGCCCCTGGACAGTGTAGGAGGCCGCATCAAAAGAGCGCCCCCTATGTGTAGCCGCGGTGTTGCAGCCATGGATTCAGCCATGAGGTTTTGTGTCTGAAGAATCTCCTGGTCCGTGTCTTCTACCCGTGCCTCGGTTCTGTTATAGCTCCGACACTGGGGTTGACCCCCCAGGTTGGAGTAGGGCTGCCCCCCCCCCCCCTTTGCTCTACCTAGCTCACCTTATCTTGTAGTAGTTCAAGGCTGTTGAACTGTGATTAAGTAGATTAACTGAGGTGGTGGGGCAGGTCGTGGGAGGCTGCTACATTCCTTTGGGGGGAGGGTTCAGACCCTTACAATGTCAACCACCCCCCTACACACAATGTTACGTGGTCTCCATTTCTTCATGCTGCTTGTCTTGCCCTTGTTCCCACGACTCCCGGTCTCTGTCCTGGTTTCAGTCAGCTGTGTCTGTGGAAATAATTTGTACCGGCCAGGGCAGCCCAGTTAGAAATTCAGAAAAATACCCTACGGTCATAATGATGTAAGCATGCCCCCGCAGTCTGCTGGACCACCTTTCATCCCTCGTCCCGCTGGGAAATATTTCAATGCTGTTTTGTTTTTACTGCACCTAGAAAGTGGCATAGGGAAGGTCTCACCCAGATCCCAGGGAGAGCAGTTTAAGTAGCAATAGAGCTGAGTTATGGTACAGTTGCCTTCCAGAGGAAGTGCTCGTGAATGAGAATTCATGTTGACAGTTGATTATTTGGCCATGTTTAGACTAGGACTTGAAGTGCAGGATGAGTTTAGATTTTATATGATTGTCTTTATGAAGGTTTATCAAGGAAGGTTTAACACATTACGAATGATGAGACGTGATTCCAGACGTGATAAGGCATTTATTTCCTGCCATGAATAATTAAATGAGGCGCTAGCAGAATATTTCGCAGGCCATTATCCTACCGGTTGGCCCCTTCTGCTGATGGAAGAGCCGCGTGGGACTTCGCCAACACTTCGACTTCATGAATATCCGTCATCTTCCAGCGGAGGCCGAGACGTAGCCGGCAGGCACCCAACATTCCACTAGGAGGCGCCGACGCACGTGACTCCCCTGGTCGAACCACGGCAATTACCTGCTGCCCCTTTTGGACTACTGTGTCACAATTAGTGATTAGCGATGGCACTCTGGGGACAGGGGTGTTAGCCTGAGGGATCTTATTCCACAGCATCTATGGATGATAGAGGTAAGGGGGGCATGGTGGGAGGACCTGGGTCTTGTAGCAAGATAAATCTGTGCCCCCCCCCCCCCATGCTCCCACCCCAGGCGCCGTTCGTGTTGATGAATCGAGCTCTTGATGGCGGTAAGTCCGAAAGCGCTGGTTAGCACTCAGGCCTATGCTGGGAAAATGAGGCTGCCTCTGAGGACGTGGAGAGTGGTTGGGGCCACAAGGAGGCGAAAAGGGGGGTGACACCTGTGTGTGGCCAGGGGAGCCAGAGCATGTGGAGGTGCAATGTGTTTGTGCCAGTAGGGGGCGCCAGGGGGGTCTCATCTCTACAAATAACTGCCTGTGCCCCCCCTCCCCAAAAAAAATTACCCAAAGATGCTTCCAGTAATGCCATTGCTCCCCTCTCTTGAAAATCTTGGTGGTGACAATGCTGCTGTGCTTTTTGCTTGGCTGGTGTAGTTTGCAGGTTTCCTGCATAGTGCCGTCATGTTGAGGTTTAGCGTATGGTGCAGTTGTGTTGAGGTTTCATGTATGGTGCAGTAATGTTAAGGTTTAGTGCATAGTATAGTCGTGTTGAGGTTTAGTGCGTCGTGCAGACGTATTGAGGTTTAGTGTATGATGCAGTCATATTGGGGTTTAGTGCATGATACAGTCGTGCTGAGGTTTAGTGCATTGTGCAGTTGTGTTGAGGTGTAGTGTATGGTGCAGGTGTGTTGAGGTTTAGTACATGGTACAGTCGTGCTGAGGTTTAGTGCATTGTGCAGTCATGTTGAGGCTTGGTGCATGATGCAGTCATGTTGAGGATAAATGCATCATGCAGACATGTTGAGGTTTAGTGTGTGGTGTAGTCATATTGGGGTTTAGTGCATGGTATATTCATGTTGAGGTTTAGTGTATGGTGCAGTTGTGTTGAGGTTTAGTGCATTGTGCAGTCTAGTGTATGGTGTCCTCCTATTGAGGCTTAGTGCTTGGAGCAGTTATGATGAGGTTTAGTGTATGGTCTCCTCCTGTTGAGGTTTAGTGTATGATTCAGTCATGTTGAGGTTTAGTGTATGGTGCAGTCATAATGGGGTTTAGTGCATGGTACAATCGTGTTGAGGTTTAGTGCATGGTGCAGTCTTGTTGAGGTTTAGTGTATGGTGCAGTTGTGTTGAGGGTTAGTGCTTGGTGTCCTCCTGTTAAGGTTTAGTGCATGCTGCAGTCATGTTGAGATTTAGTGCATGATGCAGTCGTGTTGAAGTTTAGTGCATGCTGCAGTCATGTTGAGATTTAGTGCATGATGCAGTCGTGTTGAAGTTTAGTGCATGGGGCAGT